TTCTTTGCCAGCGGCGCCCGTCGGCGGAGAGAATCGCCACCCCTGGCCTCGCTTTCTTCAACGCGGGTCGGTCGTCTTCTCCTCCATCGCTTCTCTGTCGAACGCCGCCACGGTTGGAGCGGCGGCCGTTGTTGCTCATTCCCACCGTGGAGTTTGCCCAGAATTCATCCGAGCTCTGGTGGTTATAGCTCGCGTCGGTCGGCGAAGTTGGTGGCGTTGACGAGCCGAGAAGAGGAGCTGCGTCGTTGGTAGGCAGCGACAGGGATGGGGTTTCAAACCCTCTCGTAGCAACGACCTCTTCTTTCTTCCGGAATCGCCAGTTGGTAGCGCGATCGGGGGGGACTTCTTGTCCGCATCTTCCACCTGCGCCGACCCGCCTTCGCGCAGTTCAGCAGATGACTCTGGGACCAAGGGAGGATTGCTGGAAGCGGAGCTCTCAATCGCTAGTCCCCAGTTGGATGTCGATTGAAACAGGCGGTGGTGGTAGAGATTGAATCACGTCAGTAGCAATACTGGTCGTACCGTCTGCGGCGATTCTTCTTCCTCGATCAACGATTTCCGCGTATCCTGCGAGGTGATGATTTCGGAACCTTGATGGTGAAACTGCCTTCTCTGAAGCTAGCGCGACATTGTGAGACATTGTAGATTTCTCGAATTCGATTGTTTTTCGAAACGGATCCATCTGCGTTCGTAACCCAACGAACGCTCTGCTGTAATTGTTAGCACATTGATCAATTCTTTGTACATCTAGGTGCTTAGCTTCGAACCCAGGCAAGGAAAAGAATAGCTTGATGCGATGCGGATATTCTGTTTGCAGATGTTTGGCTCGAAGTCTTCATAGATGCGCTCATCCCCGGTTGAGAGTTGTGAAAACTCATATTCGCAACCGGAGCTCTGGTACGAGTGCCACAACCAGGCTCTGATACCACTGTGAGAACCACGCTTCTAGGGATTCTCGATACTGATCTTCGGCACTCGTGACAATTAGGGATTTAGGGTTTGAGAGAAAGAATTAGGGATTAGATGAGAAAGAACAGAATAGAATTGGGAATCGGCCGAGGCCTTGGACTAAGATGAGGTGAGAAATTAGGAGTTGAGAGGATAACTAGGGTTTAGGAGACTTTGCTTAATATTCTTCTTGATTGATTATGACGTAAACCCAAAGTACATATATATAGGAAATACTGGAAAACCCTAACGAATAACCTAGTTGGACTAAATCTCTACTAACCATAATAATAATTATCCTACCTATATAATAATAGAACCATATATAATTGTGTTTCTGACAAAGGCACCTGAACCTGAAAGGACTACCCACAGGCTGCTTCAGGTATGGGTTGCTTGATTGCTTCCCTGTGTGAGTAGTTTAGTGGTCAAAGACTTAAGGATAGGACATATGAGCTCCAGGATAATTAATAGTCCGGAATGATGTCTAATCATCTAGGCCAGGGTTAATGTAGTTATGATTCACGGATTCTGATCTTCAGGCTTGGCTTTTACATTGTTTGATTAATGATCTTGTGAGAATCTTAGGTACTCGGAGGAAAGGCTAAAAGAAAGAAGTGCTTTCGCCGAAGGGGATGGATGTCAGGCCAATGATGGAAGTGGTTAAAGGTTCAGCTTTTGACATATTGCAGGTTTTACTCTTCCACTAAAGTTCGATTTTCGTCTTCTATTAACCAGATCATTTCATGCATTTTGGTATCTGAAAAGGTTGATTCGGCTATGAAGTTGGCTTACTCATGCTCTTTTGCATGCTTGTTAGAATGGTCCTGGTATATACATGTATTGATGCCGCCAGAATCTGCTGTGTTTTGCAGGCAGCTGGGGGCTGTCCTGCATCTCTAAGGCCTGGGCGCTGGTTAGATTTGTTCAGTGGTACTGGATCAGTTGGTATTGAAGCTATCAGTAGAGGATGTGTTCAGGTATCACTAACTTAATTCTGTACAATGTGTTTGTTTCATTTTTCTCTCCCCTCATTTTGTAAATGTTCACCCAATGGAAGTTGTTTCTAGAGGATAAGTTGAATATTTCCGCCAAGAATGAGCTTTAAATCTGATGAATATGTTATTTTCTTTTGCTGTACTTGATTTGTTTATTCGATTATTGCCCTGTAGTTGAGCTTGTGCTACAACTGTTCAGGCTCATTTTGTGAGATGGATCCCTGGGTTATTTCAAATGTTCTACAACCAAATTTGGAGTGGACTGGATTCCTAGACTGTCAGTTGACATGCTGTTTCCGTTGAAAACTTTCTAAAGCAGGCACAGCATTTTGTAGGTATGTATCATCTACTTTCCTAGACTCCATGATTCTCCTTAGCTCAGTTGGGTACTTGGTGCAAAAGTAGATGATGCACGAGCTTGGCGTATGGAGTGATCTTCACTTCATTGATGTCAATGGAGTTTAGTCCACCTTTCTGTTTTAGGAGATCATAGACCTTGTACAATTGAATAAAAACTTAAATTGTGCCTTCTTGATTGCATCAATTTTTCTGCAGGTGAGGACAGGACATTTGATTACATCAGTGTGACACCTCCATATATGCTAGTTGACTATGGCATATTGATGGATCTCATTTCAAAATCAGGCATAATTGGAGAAAATACATTTATCGTAAGTGTTCTTTCATTTCCTGATAACTTCGGTAGTTGGTTTTTCTTTTCATAAATATTTTGTCATCCTATGAAATTGAATTCCCTTGGTTTAGGTGGTGGAATATCCTCTAAGGACAAAACATGCTAGATTCATGTGGATGCCTCATGAAGGTACTCGCCTGTGCCTGATATATATCATCGTAAGGTTTTAGCACTGAACAATAGTCTGCAATCTCGATTTGAAGTTGGCATTGATCTAGTTCCAAACTGATGGTTGCACAGTGGCGGGGATATCCAAACTGTCTTTCTAGTTGAGGAATCCTGCTTGCCTTCTATTGTCCTTGTGTGTTATTGATCTATTGGTGATGTCTATGTGCAGCACTGTCATCCAGTTTTTGTCATTTTCATGAGAAATTTATTCAGGATGAAAAATAATCTGCATGTATATTATCTCTTTAAAAGAACAAGTTACAAGTTTACTGTTTCATAGAGTCACGTCTTAACACTGTTTTTCTTTGACACATTTTTACTGCGTTCTCGTCTGTAATCATTGCTTTCTCTCCTTTCCTCTCTGCTTTTAGCCTGGGTTGCTTCGCCAGCGACTTCTCTTCTCTCTGCAACTTATCGGTTTTCGGAACTCCTCACCTTTCCCCTGAGAAATGACAGGTCTGGCGCTTCCTCATCTGTTCCTTTCCCCACAAAAGTCTTCTTTTGCTTTGCTACCTTTCATTTATGCTCCTCACAGACTTTCCCTCTTCTATCTTGCTTGCTCGCTTGCTTTCTTCTATTGCTCTTCCATGGTGACCAGAACAAGTTACAAGTTTACTGTTTCATAGAGTCACGTCTTAACACTGTTTTTCTTTGACACATTTTACTGCGTTCTCGTCTGTAATCATTGCTTTCTCTCTCTTTCCTCTCTGCTTTTAGCCTGGGTTGCTTCGCCAGCGACTTCTCTTCTCTCTGCAACTTATCGGTTTTCGGAACTCCTCACCTTTCCCCTGAGAAATGACAGGTCTGGCGCTTCCTCATCTGTTCCTTTCCCCACAAAAGTCTTCTTTTGCTTTGCTACCTTTCATTTATGCTCCTCACAGACTTTCCCTCTTCTATCTTGCTTGCTCGCTTGCTTTCTTCTATTGCTCTTCCATGGTGACCCATAAATTGCTTCTTGACCTCAGCGACTCCGATGGCCTTCAGACTCTTCTGAAGCTGCGCCTCCTTCATGCGTGGGGGTCTTATGGGCTGAAGAATCCTACATTAATCTTCAACTACTGCACTCTGTGGAATGATGAGGAGGTCAGCGCTGCTTTCTTCTTTATTTTGCATGCAATCTTGCGCCTCCCTTCTTTTTACAGCCCTCTGATGTTCGTTTCTTTTCTGGCCAGGGTACTTTGATTCAGGGCACGGCTCCTTCGGAACTCACGCGCCATTTCTCTCCGCTTCTGCAGTTGGGTAGCGTTTATTTCGTGAGCAACTTCCGCGTCAAGCCACCGGCCCCTTCGTATCGTTCTTGCTCTCATAAGTTGACCATCGTCCTCTCTGCTGCTACACAGTTCGAAGACGTGACCCGTTCGTCACCTTCATTCTGGCCAGATGCGTTCGAATTTACCCCGTTCAGCTCGCTTCATTCCCGCATACGTTCATCGGTCTATCTGACAGGTCTTGTCCTGTATTCTTTACGTCTCTTGCTGTCCGTTCTGCACTGTACTGCTTACCACCCTTTCCTCTCTTCTCTTGCTTGTGCCTCTGTCAGATGTCGTTGGCGCTGTTGTTAGCATCACAGGCGTTTCTAGCACTGTACTTCATTCGGTACCACTGTGCGGAGTGATTTGGTGCTTCAGAATGAAAAGTATGTTACACATGCACACCACTGCTTTATCGACTGTGCTACATTTGTTACTTACTTCGCTGTTTTTTTGCCCAGTCACATGTTTCTTGATATCAGTCTGTGGAGTGATATAGCTCGGAATCTCAATGGTCAGGAACTGGCTGTCCTTGGTCGTTCTGGGCCAGTCATGCTTGCTGTTTGCTCACTGCGAGTCACTGGCGCTACGAAAGGTCTGCATGTACCTTACCGCTGCACTATTCTCCGTTTCATTTCCCTTCCTCCTTTCCTTATTACCTTCACCCCTTTTGTAGGAGGTTACTCTCTGACCAGTACTCCAGGCACACGTTGTGTTCTCAACCCTGTTTCTGAAATGGCTCACCTGGTCCAATCTGTGTATGTCTTTTCTTATCCTCCTCATATTTGTTTTTCCCTTCGCATCATCAGCTGTCTTTTTTGTTACTGCTAATTTGTTGCGTTCCTTGCTTTCGCTTCCGTTAGGTTCTTTGCCAGCACTAATACATGTCAATATTACCCTCCGAGGTTTGCAACTCCTACTGAGGCAGCGGCCTTCGAAGCTGAATGTACGAAGACTGTGTCACAACTGCTTGCTTTGTGTTTTCCACCTGTTGCCGATGTATGTTTTTTCCCCTTTTGCTCTCCAACTTACCTGCTTTTGTTCCTTTCACTTCATTTGTTTGTCCGTCTAATCATTTCTTCCGTTTACTTTTTTTTTAGTCTACGCGTTACCATTGCTCTGGTCGGATCGTTTCGGTTGATTCTTCTATGCAGTGGTACTACTTGGGTTGTGCGCTTTGTTCCAAAGCAGCCATAGATTATGATGGTGTTGACAAATGGTGTGATGACCACCGTCGTTTGGTGCCTCAACAAACACAGAACTTGTAATTCCTTTCTTCATTCTTGCCCCCATACCTTTTGCCTATTTCTCGTGTCCTCATACGCTCCTGTACACGTTTTTTGCAGTTACAAACTTCGGGTAACAGTTGATGACAACACTGGATCAGCAGCTTTTGTTCTGCTGGGTAGGGCCGCTGACCTTCTTGTGGGCTTGACTGCTAACGATCTCTCTACTAGGTTTCCTTACCAGCGCAATGTTCTTCCACAAGAACTTCTGGCTCTTGAAGGACGAGACTTTACTTTTGACGTCCAGCTTCCAAAACCGGAATATGGGGCTCGTGGCCCGCCAGAGTTCACGGTCCTTGCTGTCAATGAGCAAGAACAGCCAAATTCCTGCTCACCAACTCTTAGTCGCCGGTCAAGAAATGCTATGCCCCATACACCACCTCCTAACAGGTTTTTCCGTGTTCTCCAGTTTGTGGAACAGTCCCCTTTTGTTCATTACTAATCGCTACTTTCCGTTGCAGTCCTCACTTGATGCCTCTTACGTCTCCATATGTTGTTCCAACAATTCAGACCGCTTCGGTAGACCATGGTTCTTCTATTGCTTCACCAAGGTAATGCTTCAATTTTACATGTCCTCTTTTCGCTGGTTGTTGATTGTCTTGAACTCGGGTTCCTTCTTAAATTTGCAGTGGGAGTTCTCAGCTTGCATTTTCTACTCCTCCACGTCGCCCCTACAACAGGTCTTTTGTACAGCCCACTTTGCTTTACAAAATTAACAAGCTCTTCTTTGGACGCTGTCGAACTCTTTCCCTATGTGTTGACATTTCTTCTCCATGCGTTGTTTACCGTCAAGTTCCAGTAGGCGCATCGCTGCTGTATCCTCACCCTCATCTGCTGCATTGGGAAGGTTGTCTGTTTGTTGTCTGCTTTGCTAGCTCAGTGCTGCTTATACACGTTCTGATGTCGTTTTCTGACATGTTTCTTTACAACAACAGTGTCGTAGCTCCTTCTCCTGAACTTGGTCGTACTGAGATTGTTTCCTATGCGCGGTCAGTTTCTTGCCTTTTCCTGTATTACCTCAAGCGTTCGACTTAACGCCTGCTTATATTTGTCAATGACTCTTGCACACCCGTTTTAACTGCTTCTTAGCCCTAGAAGTGAGGAAGTGCCCCCAGAAACTGCAACACAGCGATCCCCACAGTACCTTCCCTCCTGTTAACTTACTTACTAGCTTTACGTGTCTCTTTCTTTCCTTCCTGAGCATCTCTGTATCAGGGAACTTGCTTCGGACACTACAGATGCTACTGTGCAGAACAAGACCATTAGTTCGCAGAAAGCGAAGCCGAAGAAACCATCTGCTAAGAAGAAGTCTCTCTGCCCTTTATTACTTACTATGTTTCTTGTACCAAATTTACCATATCCTACATTAGGTCTTAGTTTCCTGTTTACCTTGCTTCTGTTTGCATATTGCCAATTGACTTTGGTTTTTTTTGCACCCTTCGTTTCAAATGTGCCCGCCATTGTTATTTCGTTTGGTTGGTTGTTAACTGTGCATACGCCACTATTGTCTCTTGGAATTCTTTTACTTATCATAGTATCCTGCATTGTACTTCGGTTTACTGTCCTTACCTTATACAGCTTTGTTGGACTTTTGCAGGAAAACTGGAAGTCCAAGTGTTGCGCGTCGTCCTGCAGTTACTCTTGCAAAAACCGATGTTCCAATATCGTCCCTTGAGATCCCTACTGGACATCCTTTGCCAACCGAATCGGCGAATCCTGACTCTGGAAATCTTAATGGCCTCGGTGTCAATTTGCAGACAACAACACTTCAGCCTTTGTCACAGTATGTGTCGTTCTAATTATTCGCTTGCCAGTGTTGTCTGCTCCCTAGAATTCCAGTTTGCATGCTTTTGGTGCTCTTTTAAACCTGATAACAAAAGGGCTCCAGTCTGCACAGAATACTTATTTTGACGCAAAAAGAACTGCAACCAATGCTTTTCAATTACATTTGGTCTTCTGCTTTTATACATGGTTTTAAGTTGTCACCATAAAATACAATCGCCGATGGATGGCCTTTTGTATCCCTTTCTTCGCCTTTCGCTAACTTACACGTGTTCTCAATGTGCAGACATACAATGTTACCTTTCAGTGGCCATACTAATTATCTACGAATGTTCTCCCTTTTTTGTTTATACAGACCAAAATAAACAAATAGTTGTGGCTTCTGCTTACTTGGTCAGCTTCAAATCAATTGTTTTCCCACAGTTGAAGTAATAATCGTCTTTACTGTAGGGAGATTCCTTGTGCAGTGGGTTCTTTGTTGTTAGTCATTATCTTATTCGTGCTTTGCAAGTTGCTCCCGCATTGCATAGGAATGTGCATGTTCTTCCATATAGATGTGTTTTTACAGACCTACTTCCTTTGTCTCCTTTTCTAGGCAATCTGTGTCTATACATCCTGCACCTGTACGTCGCCGTCGCTTGGTTGTTTCTTCTGATGAAGACGAACCTGTTGTCCCTTTGGAATTGCAAGACTTGGACGTTGAACTTCCACTGCAAGAACAGGCTATTGAAAACTCTTCGACTTGTCCTGTTCCTACCGTTGACTCTGCTTTGCCTTCTCCTCTTCTTGCTGGCCAAGAAGTTCCGCTACTTCCAGTGGGGAAAACTAATCCTGGGAGGGCAAAGCGAATTAGGACACCGTCTGCAAAGGCCATTGAAGCATCTGTGGATGCCTCTAAGAGGAAGCCAAAAACTCCAAAGTCGTCTGCTAAGGAACCTGCTAAGAAGCAACTGTTTGCTGATTGACCATGCTTCGCATCATGCGAGTGCTAATGTAACATGTTTGTGCATGCTGTCCCTCCCTTTCTTTGTATAACTTTTAAAGGGAAAACACTCTTTAGTGAGTAGTGCACTATGTACTTTTGCCTTTTGTGTCTACATTTGCAGCCCTTGCCAACTTGTGGTTTTACCATTACTGGCAACACTTCTACCAAACTGGTCTGCTATGCCATTTGACTTGTATTAGTTACCTCTTGGTCCAGGTTACCCTTTGCGTACCTGCTTTCTAACCAGCTCTATGTCGTTAATATAAAGCGCATTTTGGCATACCCTTCTTAAGTGGCATAGTATTGCGCCACTCCTGCAACTGAACTTTATTTTGTGCTAAGGAACTGTTGTACTTTGTATCATCATTTGTTGGGTGAATTTTGCCGTTTAGCCCAGCATTCGCATCGCACCTGTATCTACTTCGTTAGTCACTTTGTTTTTGCTCTTTATTCGCAGGTGGCCACTGTCTGTTGTAAATGGCCACTTTTGAGGACCAAATTGTGCACACCCTTTTCGATTGCAGGGTATTTAGGTGGTGTCTACCAGCCACACAGTAACTAGATATTTAGATTGTCCACTAATACCATGACTTTGTTTACTAGCTTCCATAGACCCAAATTATAAACTTATTTTTCTTCTATTAATTGCCATCATGCATTTATTGTTCTGACTAGCCTGTTCACTAATGATGGCTTTATTACTTCTCACTTCTCTAGACTAGCCTGCTATGGTGCATGTTGTATTATTATACTTTTTCTTAAGAAGGATATTTCCCCCTGGAAACACCGTTTACCTGTAGACTGTCTTCTTCCATAACTGCTTTCCCATTACTAGCTTCTTTTTGCTTATTCTGTCTTTGCTGTTGGGTCATTGAATGCAATTCTCTGCTACATCTGCTATACCTATTACCTGGTATCTGCCTTCCTCTGCAATCTGCCAGTGTCTTTATTCCACTGTACCGTTTAGAAGGCGTGACATGGTTAGTTGGTCAATTTATTACTTTTATCTTACTACATTTACCATTGTGTTCCTATACCATGCTACGCTTGTGCCATAGTTTCCCAGGTCCTGTTTTTTCCCTAACGTCAGTGTGTGCTCTCAGGCCACTCCCAGACAGGGCTGCACTCCTGCTACCCGGTCGTTCAGCGAATAGGAAGCGTCGTCATATTGGTGTTTCCACTGAATTTGTACCTACCACGCCTCCTTCGAGAAGTTCTGTGAGGCGTCGTGTGTGCAACTTTGATAGACGGGGACGCTTGCACCCACTGCTTGGACTCAGAAGGTGAACTTGACTCATCCGAACTTGACTTAAGAACTCCTGAAGGAATATAATACAGCCAGCTTCGCAAACTCATCCTCCTGTTGCGTTGGATGGTCATTGTTCGTTGCCTGATGTGCCTCTACCACCTTCACAACAAGCAAATTCAGTCGAGTTATCGATCATGGTTTTCCTGACTGTGAAGGCCAATACTGTGGTGCACGAGTTCTGGTATGAAGAGCGGCTTAACAGGCATGCATCTCTTACTCCTGTTTTCACGCTTGTTTGTCAAAAGGGTCGAATACGCCTCCCATTCCTACAGGAAACTCCTCAGTACCTTGAAGACCTCTTGGGTGTTAATGGCGGGTCCTATGGCAGCGCACTTCAGGGAACATATACGCTCCTATAATGCTGCGTTTCTTCACATCTTTTGGAGCACGCCTTGATCCGAGAGTTTACACGATCACGAGGACCTTATTCGTTTGTGATATGCGGAGAAAATTATCATCGAATGGGATCTCTGCTTCCTGCTGCAGGTCAGAGACCTAAATATTCTCAGCTATACGTCTTTGACCCGCAGACCGAATTAGCAGATCGACTCTCCAATTTCTCTTCTGCTGAAAGGTCCTCTGCGTCCTGATATTGTTTCTGGTTTAATGAAGCTGTTTGACGTGACAAATGAATTAGTTAAGTCTTTTAGACGAATTCGATCTGAATTGAATGATCCAGCATCAATCAATTTAAGACTGCGTATTGTTGGTGCAAGGGACACAACATCTCGACAGTATGAACTTCCAACTGGTTCAGAATTGGCTGGACTCATTCCTGGTGATTTCTTGCCTGATAAGGAAGAACGAGACATCATTATCGATCATCGGTCAGAGGGCCTGAAGAGGATCACAAGTGTACACCCGAAGTTTGATGCTTTGCATTTTCCGGTTCTTTTCCCATACGGAGAAGATGGATTCCATGTAACCATACCGTATGATCCTGTTCATACTCCCAAAACATTGAAAGGAAACATGTGACTCAGAGAGAGTACTATGCTTACCGGCTTCAGCACAGAGACGACGAAGGTCAGACATTGATGCGAGGTGGGAAGGCACTTCAACATTACGTGGTTGATGCATATTCCACAATTGAACAAAACCGACTCTATTATTTGCGATCGCATCAAGAAAACCTCCGTTCTGAACTATACTATGGCCTTACAGATGCTTTCAACAGAGGTGATGTTACAGGAGATGCTGTTGGCCATGTTGTTCTGCCATCATCGCATACTGGAAGTCCTAGGTACATGAAGCAACTATACTTAGATGCAATGGCTGTTGTCCACCATCATGGCAGCCCCGACCTATTCATAACCTTTACGTGCAACTCCCAGTGGCCAGAAATAACAGAATCTTTCCGCGCTGTCTGTGGTGCACGCAGCGAACTAAAACCAGAGATTGTTGCTAGGGTCTTTCGCATGAAGCTGAATGCACTGGAAGATGAATTAACACGAGGCCATTTTTTTGGTCAAACAGTGGCAGGTTGTTCGGTTGCCTTCTGTCTTACTTCCTTTTACAATTGCCTGTTATCAATTCTCCTTTCCTGTCACTCTAAACTTCCTCATTACCTCATGTTTGTGCTCTAGCATAAATGACACATTTCATTGCCTTATAATTCCAGGTATCAAAACCGTCGAGTTTCAGAAACGGGGTTTGCCCCATGTTCATATACTTTTATGGTTGGATGCAAAGAATAAGCTACGACAAGCTTCTGATATTGATGCAACTGTTAGTGCTGAACTGCCAGATCCATTACTAGATCCAATTGGGTATGATGCTGTGACAAAGTTTATGCTGCATGGTCCGTGTGGTCAAGATAATCCGACCAATGTTTGCATGAAAGAAGGATCGTGTTCAAAGTATTTTCCAAAACCGTTTAATTCAGAAACTACAACGGACCAGTTTGGCTATACAGTCTATCGCCGTCGCGATACAGGTATAACAGCAGTGAAAGGTACAGCTATACTAGACAACCGGTTTATCGTTCCATATAATCGGAATTTACTTGTGCTGTTTCAAGCTCATATCAATGTCGAGGTCTGTCATCAAGGCCGGCTTGATTAAATATTTGTTTAAGTACATTACAAAAGGGCCTGATAGATCCATGGTTCTTGCTGAAACTGCTGGCTTGTCTGTATCTGATTCTGCTACCCCAAACCATATCCCTCCATTGGACGAAATTAAACAGTTCTTGATTGTAGAAGTCTGTCTTCATATGAGGCAGCGTGGCGGATCTTTGAATTCCCTGTTCATGAACGAACACCGCCGGTTCAGCGTTGTGCGTTCATCTTGAAGGGAGACATTATGTTCCTTATAGGAAGAAACCAACGGCTGTCTCGAATACTTGCCCGCGATTCTGTTTCAGAGACAACATTGACACAATGGTTTTACCTTAACCAACGAGATCCAACTGCAAGGGATCTACTTTATGCCGAGACTTCCGAATCGTTATATATGGAATGTGAAAACAAAAAAATGGGCTCCGCGGAAAAGAGGGTTCTCATTGGAAGAATTGTCTATAATCCATCCAGGTTGTGGTGATACATTTTATCTCAGACAACTTCTACCAAAGTTCGTGGGTCAGTTAGTTATGCAGATCTTCGGACAGTCCATGGATTCCCATGTAGAACATATCAAGATGCGTGCCAGCGCCTTGGTCTTTTGTCTAATGATGATGAATGGTTACTTGTGATTAAA